GGGATTCGAACATGATCTTGTGCACTAATTCACAGATGCTCTATACAGAAGGTTTAGAGTGTCTGCAATGCAGGCAAGCGTGGCTTGAATACTAGGACATATAAAAGTAGTGTCCCAATAAGTACTTTCATGCTAAATACATTGACATTCAAATGAAGTGCATTTGTTTTATTTTATTTTATTTTTTCACAAAATATTTCTATTTGGTTTATTAAAACAATGACCAGAAGTGGCACATAAAATCACAATTTATTTCAAGCTTAGTTTTAATTTTAATTTAATATTATTACAGAAATTATTAGAAATGACAACACTGTCTTGAAAAAATTAATGTTTCCTTGTAGTGTTCATTCATGGTCCTATTTCAGCCAGTGTCAATTGTCAGTTCTATGCCACTAAAAATAACTTGTGTACCGTCTGATCACTGTTACTATTCTTATTATTATCATTATTTCAGACCCTAGGGCAGCCAACTGCAGCATTTTAATGCAAGGAGAACCAGAGAGCTTGTTCTTCAAAGTACATTGAAAGCAGTTTTTTCAGTTCTGTGTTTGTTTTAAGCCTGCCAATCCCCGTCACAATTTCTCAAAGGTTTATTTTTTAACCCTGCCCTTCTCACCCATATGCTACATATACAGTGTTCAGTTCATTTCCTATTAACAGCTATATTTTTTTCGCATAGCACATTGCTAAATAAAAAAATCTATCTGACAGGTCAATGAGGTGGTGGAAAGTAAAACAGAAAGACAAAAGAGTGTGTATTTTTCTTTAAATTTTTATCAGACCACAATTGATGAAGAGGAGGTTGAAAGACTGAGCAGACCAACAAGTGACTGGTGGACGCTAAATGGGGACTTTGCTGCTCTTCATTCCATGAATAAACTTAGAGTCTCTTTCATCAAAAATTCTCTTGATCATCTACATAGCCAAAATAGTACCCTATCAAAACCTCTTGGTGGGTTTAGAATACTGGTAAGAAGAGATATTAAAGTATCGTGTGAAAGTGATTTGAAGTCAGGTATTTTAGTTTCCTAGTTTAGAGAAAAATATGCCTCTGATCTGAGAATAAGCCTTACAATCTAGTAAGAAATGATTTTCATCTTCAATTTTGTTACTTGTACAAAAGTAACATATCCGTTCATTGCGCGGGATTTTTTCGTATCTACCTGTTTCAGTTCTAAGTTGATGACTACTTATTCTAAATCTAACTAATGCTTTTCTCGAAGGGTTTTTTCTTGTTCAAACTAGGTATAGTCGTCTTTGATTGTACAATAAAAACTGAGTTTTTGTGATTGTTGAAGAGTCTCATTCCAGTAAGAGAGACGTATTTATTTTTCAATATGCCGACTGTGTGAGATCACACTTGCGTGTAATTACATGAAGCGGTTCAATCGTGGGCTCAAACAATCATTAAAAATGACAACATGTCGGCTTGCAGAGTGAAATGCGGACCTCGTTTGTCACAAAACCTCCATGTCTCCTTACGCCTTCTCTGCAGCAGGCATCTCTGTAGCTCAGCAAAGGTAAGATAGCTATTACGTGTAAAAGTGAAGGATATCTGCGACGGATATCACCAAGGCCCGTTTCAAACGTCGTGCTACTGCCGTCCCGACTAAATTGATCATTCGACTTTAGCACGGCAGTAGCGCGATGTCTGAAACCAAGTCGTGCTACTGCCGTGTAGGTCGGCAAGCTTTGCCGTGCTACACGGCAGTAGCTCGACTTGGTTTGAAACGTTGCGCTACTGCCGTGCCGAACTCTATTCATAAATTATAAATACATGAGAACACATTTAAAAGTTTGCTAAACCGCTTCTATATTTTTGTGTTTTGTTTTCCGCAACAGCCGTTTTATTCGACTGAATTAAATTCGACGTCTGAAACCAAGTCGTGCTAGTGTCGTGCTACAGTTGAGCTACAGCTGAGCCAGCTTAGCACGGCAGTAGCATGACGTTTGAAACAGGCCCAAGTTACAACAGACCATTTTACAGTTGTGGACTTAGTACCCTAGCCTTCGAGTGAATGTGAGGCTACCGGTGTCTTGTTTTGATACAAACCTCCTTTGCTTTGTTATGGAAATTGTCCTTGAAAAACACTAGTTGGCATAAGAATAACTTGATTTCCATAATAAAGTAGGAAGGTTTGTATCAAAACAAGGTCACTGTCAGCCTTGCTTCCATCCATAACTGTAAAATGGCCTTTTGAGAGTTCTTGCATTCGCCTGCATTTATATTAGAAACAGAGTATTTGTCAAGAAGTTGATCAATCAACGTGAACAGACGTAAGTCACAATATTTCTAATGGTCTATACCATTATTCATTAATTTTATCTAAGGTTACAAAATGAAAGACCGCACAAGATTAGATCAGTTGATAGAGCGCTTGACTGCAGAGCAGGAGGTCGCGGGTTTGATTGCCAGGACCAGACCAACACTCGGGGTCTTAAAATGAAGGAGAAATGAAGGCACTGCCTTTGCCCCTGCAAATGGCTAGACCTTTGCATGGATTAGCCTGTGCTGCAGCTGGCCCACGCACTCGCCTATTTTGTATAGTCCGTCTGCGAATTAGTAAACAAAAGCTCATTCTAATATCCTGCAGAGTCGCAAGGACATATGTGAGAGTTTCTGATAGGCAGGTTTCTTACAGGTTTCTTATGAGCCTCACGATTGGCCTAATTTTTACGTGTGTATGATGGTTGGCCGCAGTGACGTGTCAAAATTCACCGAAGGGAGCTGCCAAGGATTGTTTACAGTAAACAATGAAAGAGCAGTTCGAACTTTAAAGCCGTCTTCTGAACAAAAAAATGCTTTGAGGTAATTCCTTCAAGGCCAGAATTTTCTTGTAAATTTGCCGGCTGGTTTTCCAGCATCTTCCAATCGCTTCAGATGCACTACCACGTATTCCGCAATCTAGCCGATAGTTCTAGAGTCAAAACAAATCAAGAAGTCATAATATTCATGACCAAAAAAAAAACTACACACATGTAGCTATTCAGGTCCAGGCATTTTATTGAAAACCAAAGAAACTAAGGTTATTTAGCCACCATAAAAAAGCTTAAGGCTTTAACAGAGGTAAAGGAAATCATTTATGCACCTGTGATCAAATCCTGTCAGGAAACATTTGCCAAAAAATAAACCACAGGAACTAATTACTCAATATACATGGAACAGACCAACTTCAAAACCTCTAAATGTAGGTAAATGTGAGACTCAAAGTGGCAAAAAAAAAAATTGCTTAGTCAAATTGTAAAAGACTCATTGCACTGTATAAATTACTCAAAAAGAGAGCAAGAAAAACCTTTGTTGTTCAAGCTACTCTAAGGTCATGTTTCACACTATCACGAGCTCAGTCTCTCTTTTCATGAGCTATAAGTCATGTTGGGCCTGTCAGCACTTAATTCCAATCAGACTAATCACAAACTGCGTAAGAAACTAGCCAATCAAAAACACCGACATATGTCTCTGCAATTCTGCGGGATTCGAACATGATCTTGTGCACTAATTCACAGATGCTCTATACAGAAGGTTAAGAGTGTCTGCGATGCAGGCAAGCGTGGCTTGAATACTAGGACATATAAAAGTAGTGTCCCAGTAAGTAATTTCATGCTAAATACATTGACATTCAAATAAAGCGCATTTGTTTTATTTTATTTTATTTTTTCACAGAATATTTCTATTTGGTTTATTAAACAGGGCTTCTGATATTTCGCGCGGTCGCGGACCCGCGAAATTCAGGTATTCCCGCGAAATCCTGCAAAATTCCCCAAAAAAAGCGAAATACCGCGAAATCCGCCAGAAATATTTCCAAATACATGTCGGCAAAACATATTTAATACTTATCTTGGCTTTAAGACCTGTTTTATTCACCCCAAATGTACAAATTTATCTTGAAACTTCGTCACTGCAACAAGTAAACAACGTCCCAAAACTACCAGGCGTTCTTAGATTAATGTTGCGAAGAACTGGGCACTAACCATAATGTTAATAGCTTTAGCATTCGCTCATTTCTCGAGCGAACTGTTGTTGAAAGAGCAAATATTTATCCCTGTTAAAAGAACGTTAAACAACGCTGGTCATATCGACGCAAAATTGATGGATTTTCGTGAAATTTACCAAAAACAAATCCAGCAAAATCGGCTGTTTTTTTACTGATTGTTTCTTGGGGAAGTTTCCCCCCCGAAATTTCCCGTGTAATCAGCCGATTTTTTCTAAGAGTTTACCCTTGAAAATCCTTCGAAATTTGACTTTTTTCCGCTAAAATCCCGCAAAATCGGCCAATGTTTCTGCGAATTTTGACTTTTTTCCCGCAAAAATCCCACAAAATCGGCCGATTTTTCCGCAAATTTTGACTTTTTTCCCGCGAAAATCCCGCGAAATCAGCCGATTTTTCCGCGAATTTGCCCCTGAAAATCCCGCAAAATTTTGCTTTTTTTTCCGCGAAATATCAGAAGCCCTGATTAAAACAATGACCAGAAGTGGCACATAAAATCACAATTTATTTCAAGCTTAGTTTTAATTTTAATTTAATGTTATTGCAGAAATTATTAGAAATGAGAACACTGTCTTGAAAAAATTAACGTTTCCTTGTAGTGTTCATTCATGGTCCTATTTCAGCCAGTGTCAATTGTCAGTTCTATGCCACTAAAAATAACCTATGTACGGTCTGATCACTGTTACTATTCTTATTATTATCATTATTTCAGACCCTAGGGCAGCCAACTGCAGCATTTTAATGCAAGGAGAACCGGAGAGCTTGTTCTTCAAAGTACATTGAAAGCAGTTTTTTCAGTTCTGTGTTTGTTTTAAGCCTGCCAATCCCAGTCACAATTTCTCAAAGGTTTATTTTTTAACCCTGCCCTTCTCACCCATATGCTTCATATACAGTGTTCAGTTCATTTCCTATTAACACCTATATTATTTTCGCATAGCATGTACATTGCTAAATAAAAAAATCTATCTGACAGGTCAATGAGGTGGTGGAAAGTAAAACAGAAAGACAAAAGAGTGTGTATTTTTCTTTAAATTTCATCAGACCACAATTGATGAAGAAGAGGTTGAAAGACTGAGCAGACCAACAAGTGACTGGTGGAGGCTAAATGGGGACTTTGCTGCTCTTCATTCCATGAATAAACTTAGAGTCTCTTTCATCAAAAATTCTCTTGATCATCTACATAGCCAAAATAGTACCCTATCAAAACCTCTTGGTGGGTTTAGAATACTGGATGTTGGCTGTGGTGGTGGTATTCTATCTGAGGTAAGTTCTTTCAAACCAATCAAACTGTTTTTAGATGAAGCTTAACCTATTCACCCCTGAACCACCCATAACCACCTGTGGACATCCAGGTCCCTTCTTCCACCTGTGATGTCATCAGTTTTTAATAACGGTTAAGGATAACTTTGTCCGCTAACTCAAGCAGGGTGAAGAGATCTTTCATACCATGCCAGAACAAGCATGAATCAGTGGAGGAGATCAGAGAAAAAGGCAAAAATACAGAACATTGACCTGAGAATTTCCATGAAAGTCTTGTTTCACAACATTTACCCACCTACTATGGTACCTTTCCTTTCTCTAATGCCAAGTTCCTAAAAGTTTTCCCAAAAACGTTTCCACCAAAATGAAGCCTACTAAATACCCAGCAAAATAAAAAAAATGAGGCAAGAAAAGGAAGAGATTAAGAGGGGAGAAGTTTGCAGGGTAAGAGAAATACCTTCATTTTCTCAGTTTCCAGTATTTTAAGACCCTGAGTATTGGTACAGCTTTGGAAATCGATCCATACCTCCTGCCCTGCAGTCGAGTGCTCTACCGACTGAGTTGAAAATATATATTTAATATTTTAATGTTTTTAATTCTTAACAGCCACTTGCAAGACTTGGAGCAGAAGTAACAGGAGTTGATGCTTCTGCACGTAATATTCACGCAGCATTGAGACATGCATCACATGATCCAATGGTGGCTGACAGAGTACAGTACCAATGTTCAACAGTGGAGGAACTCGCTGACAAGGAACCAGAATCATTTGACTGTGTTGTTGCTTCAGAAGTTATCGAACATGTAACAGATAAAGACACCTTTATTTCTGCTAGTTCACAGCTGATCAAGGTGGGTTAAAAGGGATCCAGTCCTGGGGGGAGCTGCAGCCATACTTTTATACAATTTATTACTATCATCTTATTTAGGAGTGTGTATTGAAGGGAGGTGCAAAAAGGTACATGTACAAAGGTACTAAATAAAAATTTTGCTTACTATGTGAAATTGCCCATGTACATATTTATTATTAAGAAAGTTAGAGCAAAGTCCCTCTGTTTTGTGTTTCAGATTAAACTGGTGCCGGTACAGGTGCCTACTATCACCTGCAGGCTTATTGTGCCTTGCTTGTTAAAAAAAAATACAAATGTAACTGGTTTTATCTAACTGACAATCTAGAGACAATACATGTGCAAGTATGAGGAAGCTTTATAGTTAAGAGTGTTAGCTCACGTATTTGTTGTAGTTATAAATTTTTTTATCTCAGGTAATTTTTATTTTTCCTTTGTTTCAACTTCATTATACCATACCCAAAAACAAAAGAAAAAGAAAAATTACCCAAGATAAAAAATTAACTACAACATATAAGTCAAACGGCAAATGCGAATTTTTACCACATGCTTTTTATCCAAGAGAACTGTTTTGAGCTGTTTTTATCTGCTTATTTTCTATCTTGAGAAATTCTCAACTTGAGTCTGACGTTTGCTGATTATGTTACAGGGAAAATTTGATTACAGGTTAAATTTGTTTAACCTAGGTATGTTGATTCTCAATTTCCCTAACTATTCATGAATTAGGGCTAGGAAACAAAGGAAATTGAGAATCAACCTAGGTTAAATCAAAATGAACCTGAAATCAAATTGACTGTAACACACATTTCTCTTCTATTTCTTAAATCGCTGTTGGCCAGCTAATGTTTCATAACAAGTTAGTGCTGACCAAATTTTGAAAGATTATTGTACATTTTATTATTGTTCAGCAACTTTAAGCTAAAACTCTCAAATAATACAAAATGTTTTATTTACGCATTATTAATGTTTTCATTAATAAAAGTCCCTTTGAACCAAGTCAGGAGGGGGGAGGCATAACAGATATCTAACATGTAACTTTTATTGGAGGGTTGACAATACAATGAAGGGAATTCAAGGGGAATTAAGGGGATCTTTAGCTTACTAGGTGGTTTGTTTTACCATTACTGGCCATGTGTTTTCACTCAAGAGAACTGTTTCTTTTTAGTTTCCTGTCATTCAATAGCCTGAATTTCATCCGATTGCTTCGAGTCGTTTTCTCCCGCCTGAAATTCAGGCTAGGCATGACCAACATTAGGAGACCAAACCACACAATTAAATACATTGCTGCGAGAAACTTAAGGTCTATTTTTTATTGATTTTTATATTTTGTTACTTTTCTGCCATGATATACACAGCCAGGAGGTTCACTGGTGATAACAACAATCAACCAAACAGCTCTGTCATATGCTGCAGCCATTGTAGGAGCAGAGTACATTCTTAGACTAGTAACACCTGGAACTCATGATTGGAACAAGTTTGTTACAGTTGAAGTTCTGATTGACCTCATCTCACTATGTAAGTTACCCTGCACATGATACGCACTGTGGCAGTGCGGTTTGAAGCTTAGGATTTTATGGCTATTTAACGTTATAATAAATTATTCTTAACTGTAGTCAAAGCAAGAAATTTGCAAAAACTGAGAAAAATACAGTGGAAGCTGTCCAAAAAAGCCCCCATGGGGACAGTACGCATCTGCCAGGACAAAATGATTCCATTGATACATGACTTTCAACTGAATAATAAAGTGTAATAAAAAAAGCCTGGGATAACAGAAATGTGCCATTATTCACCCCTGAACCTCTGCCAAGGTACACGTAATTTCTTTTGTTTTATTTGCCCAAGCCTTGGAGCTACAGTGTGAGTATAAATCTAGTGGGGGTGGAAAGTCTACTATATTTAAAAATACTTTTATTGTGGTCACAGTCATCCTTAATTTCATGCAATACTATTTTTACAATTTTTTCAATCATCAAACAAAAATGGAAGAGTACATATAAGGCCTTACAGTAAAAATCTTCATTAAATTTACATGAATTTTGACACAAACAAAGGACTTGATCAGCAACAACCAACGTATGTGTGTACACTTAAATCTCAAACTAATTTGTGTTACTTGGTTCACGAGCGCATGCAACCATTTTGTCTAGCTCTGAATCGAAAGGCTGGAAAAAAGCAGCTGGAATATGTGCTGTACCAGTAGTTGATTACTAGATGAAAACCTGGGCTGAGTTGCTCAAAGCATGGTTAGCTTTAACAATTGGTTAAGCAGTATCAAAACCAATACGTTGTTAAGGTATTAAACGGTGGTTAACGCTAACCATGCATCGAGCAACTGGGCCCTGGATGTTAGAAACATTCCATACTCTAGGACAATTGGCTATTTTTAGGCTGCATGACTAGGTCAGTGTTGAGTTGAATAACACTGAGGGACTGTTTTGGGGGACAAATTTAATATTACACATCATCAGTGATCATAGGCCAAATCCGTATATACTTGAGTGCTATCCTCCCCAAACAACCTCAACCTCTGCTAAATGGGGACTTTGCTGCTCTTCATTCCATGAATAAACTTAGAGTCTCTTTCATCAAAAATTCTCTTGATCATCTACATAGCCAAAATAGTACCCTATCAAAACCTCTTGGTGGGTTTAGAATACTGGATGTTGGCTGTGGTGGTGGTATTTTATCTGAGGTAAGTTCTTTCAAAACCAATCAAACTATTTTTAGATGAAGCTTAACCTATTCACCCCTGAACCACCCATAACCACCTGTGGACATCCAGGTCCCTTCTTCCACCTGTGATGTCATCAGTTTTTAATAACGGTTAAGGATAACTTTGTCCGCTAACTCGAGCAGGGTGAAGAGATCTTTCATACCATGCCAGAACAAGCATGAATCAGTGGAGGAGATCAGAGAAAAAGGCAAAAATACAGAACATTGACCTGAGAATTTCCATGAAAGTCTTGTTTCACAACATTTACCCACCTACTAGGGTACCTTTCCTTTCTCTAATGCCAAGTTCCTAAAAGTTTTCCCAAAAACGTTTCCACCAAAATGAAGCCTACTAAATACCCAGCAAAATAAAAAAAATGAGGCAAGAAAAGGAAGAGATTAAGAGGGGAGAAGTTTGCAGGGTAAGAGAAATACCTTCATTTTCTCAGTTTCCAGTATTTTAAGACCCTGAGTATTGGTACAGCTTTGGAAATCGATCCATACCTCCTGCCCTGCAGTCGAGTGCTCTACCGACTGAGTTGAAAATATATATTTAATATTTTAATGTTTTTAATTCTTAACAGCCACTTGCAAGACTTGGAGCAGAAGTAACAGGAGTTGATGCTTCTGCACGTAATATTCACGCAGCATTGAGACATGCATCACATGATCCAATGGTGGCTGACAGAGTACAGTACCAATGTTCAACAGTGGAGGAACTCGCTGACAAGGAACCAGAATCATTTGACTGTGTTGTTGCTTCAGAAGTTATCGAACATGTAACAGATAAAGACACCTTTATTTCTGCTAGTTCACAGCTGATCAAGGTGGGTTAAAAGGGATCCAGTCCTGGGGGGAGCTGCAGCCATACTTTTATACAATTTATTACTATCATCTTATTTAGGAGTGTGTATTGAAGGGAGGTGCAAAAAGGTACATGTACAAAGGTACTAAATAAAAATTTTGCTTACTATGTGAAATTGCCCATGTACATATTTATTATTAAGAAAGTTAGAGCAAAGTCCCTCTGTTTTGTGTTTCAGATTAAACTGGTGCTGGTACAGGTGCCTACTATCACCTGCAGGCTTATTGTGCCTTGCTTGTTAAAAAAAAATACAAATGTAACTGGTTTTATCTAACTGACAATCTAGAAACAATACATGTGCAAGTATGAGGAAGCTTTATAGTAAAGAGTGTTAGCTCACGTATTTGTTGTAGTTATAAATTTTTTTTTCTCAGGTAATTTTTATTTTTCCTTTGTTTCAACTTCATTATACCATACCCAAAAACAAAATAAAAATAAAAATTACCCAAGATAAAAAATTAACTACAACATTTAAGTCAAACGGCAAACACGAATTTTTACAACATGCTTTTTATCCAAGAGAACTGTTTTGAGCTGTTTTTATCTGCTTATTTTCTATCTTGAGAAATTCTCAACTTGAGTCTGACGTTTGCTGATTATGTTACAGGTAAAATTTGATTTCAGGTTAAATTTGTTTAACCTAGGTATGTTGATTCTCAATTTCCCTAACTATTCATGAATTAGGGCTAGGAAACAAAGGAAATTGAGAATCAAACTAGGTTAAATCAAAATGAACCTGAAATCAAATTGACTGTAACACACATTTCTCTTCTATTTCTTAAATCGCTGTTGGCCAGCTAATGTTTCATAACAAGTTAGTGCTGACCAAATTTTGAAAGATTATTGTACATTTTATTATTGTTCAGCAACTTTAAGCTAAAACTCTCAAATAATACAAAATGTTTTATTTACGCATTATTAATGTTTTCATTAATAAAAGTCCCTTTGAACCAAGTCAGGAGGGGGGAGGCATAACAGATATCTAACATGTAACTTTTATTGGAGGGTTGACAATACAATGAAGGGAATTCAAGGGGAATTAAGGGGATCTTTAGCTTACTAGGTGGTTTGTTTTACCATTACTGGCCATGTGTTTTCACTCAAGAGAACTGTTTCTTTTTAGTTTCCTGTCATTCAATAGCCTGAATTTCATCCGATTGCTTCGAGTCGTTTTCTCCCGCCTGAAATTCAGGCTAGGCATGACCAACATTAGGAGACCAAACCACACAATTAAATACATTGCTGCGAGAAACTTAAGGTCTATTTTTTATTGATTTTTATATTTTGTTACTTTTCTGCCATGATATACACAGCCAGGAGGTTCACTGGTGATAACAACAATCAACCAAACAGCTCTGTCATATGCTGCAGCCATTGTAGGAGCAGAGTACATTCTTAGACTAGTAACACCTGGAACTCATGATTGGAACAAGTTTGTTACAGTTGAAGTTCTGATTGACCTCATCTCACTATGTAAGTTACCCTGCACATGATACGCACTGTGGCAGTGCGGTTTGAAGCTTAGGATTTTATGGCTATTTAACGTTATAATAAATTATTCTTAACTGTAGTCAAAGCAAGAAATTTGCAAAAACTGAGAAAAATACAGTGGAAGCTGTCCAAAAAAGCCCCCATGGGGACAGTACGCATCTGCCAGGACAAAATGATTCCATTGATACATGACTTTCAACTGAATAATAAAGTGTAATAAAAAAAGCCTGGGATAACAGAAATGTGCCATTATTCACCCCTGAACCTCTGCCAAGGTACACGTAATTTCTTTTGTTTTATTTGCCCAAGCCTTGGAGCTACAGTGTGAGTATAAATCTAGTGGGGGTGGAAAGTCTACTATATTTAAAAATACTTTTATTGTGGTCACAGTCATCCTTAATTTCATGCAATACTATTTTTACAATTTTTTCAATCATCAAACAAAAATGGAAGAGTACATATAAGGCCTTACAGTAAAAATCTTCATTAAATTTACATGAATTTTGACACAAACAAAGGACTTGATCAGCAACAACCAACGTATGTGTGTACACTTAAATCTCAAACTAATTTGTGTTACTTGGTTCACGAGCGCATGCAACCATTTTGTCTAGCTCTGAATCGAAAGGCTGGAAAAAAGCAGCTGGAATATGTGCTGTACCAGTAGTTGATTACTAGATGAAAACCTGGGCTGAGTTGCTCAAAGCATGGTTAGCTTTAACAATTGGTTAAGCAGTATCAAAACCAATACGTTGTTAAGGTATTAAACGGTGGTTAACGCTAACCATGCATCGAGCAACTGGGCCCTGGATGTTAGAAACATTCCATACTCTAGGACAATTGGCTATTTTTAGGCTGCATGACTAGGTCAGTGTTGAGTTGAATAACACTGAGGGACTGTTTTGGGGGACAAATTTAATATTACACATCATCAGTGATCATAGGCCAAATCCGTATATACTTGAGTGCTATCCTCCCCAAACAACCTCAACCTCAATGATGCCGTACAGTGTACCTACTTAACATCCTTAAGTTTGTTTAGAAATGTTTTTTGGAAATTAAAGTGTTGACAACACTTTCACAAAATTAAATGCCATTTTTTAATTTCCCTTCTCTAGCCATGAAAAACTGACTTGCTAAAATAAAAAATAAGTTCGTTAATAAGGTACAACCTCACCAGTATAATTTCAAAACATATCTAATTAATTCCATAATTCAACAGAGGTTGGCACTGCCAAGTACAGTGTTTTTTTGAAAACAAGAATAAATAAAAAAAAAGTTAGTGAGGATTATTTTTAACCATTTTTTTCTTTTCACACCTTTTTCTTGTAGATGGTTTAGAAGTCACAGAAGTCAAAGGAATGTTTTACTTGCCAGTCTTTAACAAATGGTGTTGGATTGAAGACACAAGTGTGAACTTTGCCTTGAATGCAATTAAACCAAACATATCTGTAACACCACCGGAAGTGACACTAGATACACAAACAAACGAGACTAACACATGATGGATTTTTCTATATTTAATTGTGTACAGGAAAAAGAATAAACTTTTTTTCAGTGGTACACTGAGTGGTAGTGGTCTTAATATCAGAAAATATATAAAAATAATATTAAAAATGATATTATCCGGTGATAAGCTCTCTCCAAATTTCGGACTCTCTAGTACTAAAGGCAAGTATCTTGCATCTGACTGGTGAACGAACAGGGTGAACAGAGGGAGAAAGCTTGATGACAGTTTGTAAAAAGACAAAGGGCAAATTCCCTTGTGAGCATTGCATGACCCAAATTGGAAACAAAAACTTTTTTCATTTCATTTTATTCGTTTCCCCAAACCATAGATAGTACAGAATTAGATATGAGGTGAAAAAAGCAAGTAACAAGAAAATAAAATTTACAAGGAAAGAAAACATACGATACAAAATTACAGCATTTAAATTAAATCACATTGTATACATGTATAGAAAGGAGAGGAGAGGGGCACATCTAGATAAACTAATACTGTGCCCCTTAAAGTTACATATAACAAAAAACTTGTAATTTTTTAATAAAGAAGTAAAGAAAAAATTATAAATAGCTCAGTAAATTATTAAAGAGATGCTGTTTCATTAGTATTGAGCAAGGTACCAGGGTAAAAGTGTTTTTCTAAACATTTTTGTAGATGGTTTGTATCTGATTGATTGCGGAATACCATTCCCAAACCAAAACTTACAACATACAAGGGTAAGGGGTTGGACCTCAGTACACAGCTTCCCTGTACAAAACTTTGTTGAGTTCCCCTCCTCCCCAGGTAATACAACTCTAGAAAAACCACAGTATGATGTACATTATACTAGGGGTCAAAACCAACAATCTTTGTGCAGCGGCAAGAAAAGAGATTTTTTTAATGACAAGGATTGGTCAGTTGAATTGTGACAAAGCAGATAACTTATTAAACAACATAATTAAAAGAAAGGAGAGTAACAGATAATCATACATATAAATATATTTTTTACAAAATGTCAATAAAAATATCCCTATCTTTAGTTTGATCATAATTAATTCTATTTTACAAGCAATGTCCAGAATACTATTATTGTCATTATTTTCCACATCTCTGCTGACAGTCACCATATCTTCTAAGGGACGCAACAAAGGTGGAGTAGTGGATGTTGATGTGTGTTGTTAAAGGTCTGCAAAAAAATCAGAAGAAATAAGTACTAAAATAGGACACCACGAAATCCATTTCTAACTGTAGAGTAATGATTCTCACATCAACCCATTTGGTAGGAAGACATTTAAGAAATGGTCCAGATAAGAATGATAGCAACAACGGCAATGAACATTGAACATTGTTGGAATGCAAAAAAGGTGCTAACTTTTCTATTGTCTGTACTTTGTATTTCTGATTGGCTTAGACAGCAAAAGTTAACAAAACTTCATAAAGTGGTACATATATTTCAACCATCTTCCATATAACAAAATCTGGTCTCAGTTTGAATAACAAAGAAATCCCATGTCGGGAATATGTAAAATTGTAAACTTTTCTTGGCCATTGTTTTCAACTCTTGTGATTGGTCAAAATCTTTTAACACAAAAAAATACTCTTTCAAAGTGGAGTGTAAATACATTTTATTGTGTAAACGGCCTTCATGTAGGTTTAGGCATTCTCTGTTTAAAAATGAGAACATTCCTATGTGGGAAAGCACCGTTGACGCATAACAAAAGAAATTGCTATCCACCTTACCAGGATCATTACTTAATGGATATTAAAGAATCTTTTTTTATTTTTTGTGCATATGCACCACGTGCTTTAAAAGTGTTTCAATATGGAGGGGATTTTCCTCCTCTTTTTTTTTTTTTGTGAGAGGATGCCGAATGATAAAAGTACAATGTACATT